CCTGTGGACCTCATCGATCCGAACCGGTTCGTGAACCGCACACTCCGACGCTCTTTAACCTGTCCACCTGGATGCCGCAGCCAACCCTTTCCGCCGCCGCCGCCGCCGCCGCCACCGGGGTCGTGTCCTTCTACGCTCGGGCCATTCGAGCCTGTCGCGATTGTTCTCCTTGAGGAGAACCGATGTCTTTGATCCCGAGAGATCATACCCCCCCCCTCCCCGGACTCGCAATCGCCCGTGGCTGTCTCGCCTCGGGATCCGCTGGCTCGACGGAACAGCGCCCGTGCGAAATTCCGTAAGCTCGCACGGACTCGTCGACGACGCTGCCACGCAACCGAGTAACTTGTATCGCGCGGACTGAATCACGCGGGTCAGCCCTGGATAGTAGCGAGGATTATCAAGACGCTGGATGATACCGATGCCATCGAGTCGGGTATACCGGGTGCTACAGACCACCCGGGTCACCCGATCTTTTCGTTAACGCGCGACATTTTGGAGAAAAATATTTCAGACAAAAGCTGTTGGGGCAACTTCAAAGGATCTATTTACTGACGCTATGAATTTGACCTTGGGATAACCTTGGAAAGTCCAGTCAAGATCAACATAAAGATCTTAAATGGATACCCCCATTTTTTATCACATCATCTTTTTCCAGCAATTAATTTGAACAACTTTTGTTTGAAACATTTTTTTATTTTATTTTTTTTATTTGAAACATTTTTTTATTTATCTAATATTTTTTGAGATATTTAAGGAAAACTTGACAACTTTTTCAATATTTAACTCACGGTATCTCGCTAACTAGATGTTCCAATAGCGCCCTGAATTTGGTTAACTTGATGATTTTGAAATTTCCAAAAATCAGCGAGTTAACAAAAGTTAGGGCGCTATTATAGAGATATATTCTTGAGACTAGATAAAGCAAAAAAGTCTAGTACCACATTTTCTTCCGACAACTAGTTAGCGAGATATCGTAAGTTAAATGTTGAAAAAGTTATCAAGTTTCCCTTCAATATCTAGAAAAATATTAGACAAATGAAAAAATATTTTAGACAAAAGTAGTTCAAATTAATTGGTGGAAAAAGAATTGGTGTAATAAAAAATCGCGGTTTCCATTTCAGATTTTTATGTTGATCTTGACTGGACTTTTCAAGGTTATCCCAAGGTCAAATTCATAGCGTCAGTGAATAGATCCTGTGAAGCCCTACAACTTTTGTCTGAAATATTTTTCTCTAAAATGTCGCGTTAACGAAAAAATCGGGTGACCCGGGTGATCTGAAACATATCCGGTATATTGGGTCCTGAAGCGATTTGTTTATTTTTTCTAAAGATAACACGACTTCTCGACTTGAGAAAGGCATATGAGGATAATATATACACATATATTCATATAAAGATAAATCGATGTCCTGATAAAGATAAAGATACAGATAAAGATAAATTGATGGTCAGAAACTGACCCGATCGATCGATATAATTTTATCTAGATAAGAGCAAACGCGCTGACTACGAGATGTGTAGGTAAAAATGTTAGCGAGAGATATCGTTAGTTAAATATTGAAAAATCAAGTTTCCCTTCAATATCTAGAAAAATATTTTAGGCGAATGAAAAAATATTTTAGACAAAAGTTGCTCAAATTAATCGGTCTCGAGTAGGTAAAAGTGTCGCGACCTTTCACCTGCTCTAATGGTGCGGAAACGGTGAAGGAGATCTTTCGCAGCCCACGCGCGTTCTTACGTGACAATTTTGACAATTTCACACGTATTCGTATGGCAGAATTTTCGGAGCGTAAATCGCACGAAGAGCGGGCGCATCTTCCACTGGTAGGTAACCGGTGGAGCCGGCGAGCGGAACACGGCGGGTACACGTTTGAACACGACACTAGCCTCATAAAATTACTCCGTCGCCGTTGTTCTCGCGATCGTTAACTCGCGAGACGCCAGTTAGGTAGAATACTTAATCAGGATTCTAGTAGCAGTGCGCGCGTCTTATGCACGTGGTACGACGTCGTCATAGATAACGGTACGGCCGAACTTTAGCGGCGCGTTTATGCGGCTTAGCGCTTTACATGTCTTGTTACGTGCGTATAACCATCAGCATAGAAATATCTGGACGGAGTATTTTACGAGGGGAAGGTCTAATTAGTGGCAATAAAAAAGTTACGTTACCACGGGTTTCTCCCTGCTGCGGCTGCTTCAAATGTATTCGGCTTTTTAGACCGGCTTGCGTTGGGACGACGTTTGCGAGCAACTGAAGTGGCGTCTTTCGAAAGGTTTGCCGTGTCAGTTTATTGCGAACTGTCGGTGTGTTGTAAGATGCACACGAAATACCTACGTGTGAGCCGAATAATAATGGCGACTCGGGTCGAATGACTCGGAGAACGGGAGAACTTTCCCATTACCGTAATTGGTACACCCTCCTTGCCTAAATTAATAGTACAGTCGTAGGGAGGAAGGTAGTTTGTAATGTTTTGTGTGAGTTTCGGAACATCTCAAAGGAATGCGTACGTTTGGCGTTTACTTTATCTTGTTGTTTTTACGTCTTTCGGGAGAATTGTGAGAACGTTTTTCGTGCAGGCCGCAGTAGAATAGACTTAGATTGCACCAACACAAGCGTCATCGTGTTAAAAGAGTGTTACACAAACGCTAAAAGCAAACACTCCGAGGTGTATACTGAATATTTGGGCCTGTCTCGAAATTTCTTCAATGTTGGTGTCTCAAAAAGCGAGATCCGAAACGAATATGAAAATATTTCCCAGACTGTTATAAAACGTTGACTTATATACATTATAATTTTACGCTTACAATCGATGACAAAACATGTTTTTTGTAAAACATATAAGCTTGAATTAATATTATGTAATATTATTAAATAATATTCATTTTAATATATAATAATATTAATATTATTTATTATTATTAAATAATATTAATTTCAATAACATTTTTTAATGAGAAATAATATTTTATATTAATATTTTGTTTGATCGAGAGAGCACGTATGCTTGGCGCTTTTCTCAACTTTTGGAAGTTGCTGAGGTCCTTCCGATGTTATCTTCGCGCAAACCGCAGTAGAATAAGCTCAGATTGCACGCAAGCCGACGCAAGCGGCATCGCGTTAAAAAATGTTCTCGGTGTTGCGAAATATTGGACTAACGAACCGTTCCCTAACTTCGCTCCATAACAATACCGCAATCTTTATTCATCGCGACGTAAAGTCACCTTTCCCGAGCGCCTTCGTGGCGGAACCGACAACTCGGACAACGTGAGAATACGCTCGGCAGAGTAACTGCTATTTTTTCCCTTTTTGCACCAAGTAGGCGAATTAATGGAAAATTATCCCGGATGTTAATTCTGCACAATCTAATTTCGAACTCGCAATTACGTCCATCCAGGATAGATCCCCACAATTTTCTCGTTATGTATATATAATTAAAGAAATTTTCCCAGTAAAATGAAGTTTCCCTCGCAGCTAATGCTCGGATGAGGTAGCAAACTGTTCACGCGCTCGGGGAAAAAAAAACTGCAATTTTTACCGGAGACTCGTCCGATTATCTCCCGCCGTACGAATTACGTCGTTTGCCACTCGTTGAAAAATTTCCGCGTCGACGTTTTCCGGTTGGCTGTCACACAGATGTGTCATGCTCGAGCGAAACACAGGGTGGAGAGGAGGAAAAGGAGCAGAACGAAGAGGAAGAGATCCGAGTAATTTGACGAGTAAGAGTCCCAGGCGTTTACTTTTTCCGGGGGGGTTTCATCCGACAACGAAGCGCGCGAGCACAGAGCTTTTTGCCGGATGAACGTACGCAACGCGTCGGCCAGTTTGGACTCGAATTCTCCTATGTATACCTCGCAACGAATGTTAAAACACGAACCGTTAATTTAATCTCGTCAACTCCGTTGACTCGATCCGTTCAATGGCGGAGCGACGATGCGAAACGTGAAACATTCAAAGAGAAAAAAAAAGGATGTTGACGTGTGATATATATATATATATACCATATATGAGTACATGGCGAGTTGGCTGCACCAACACATTTGTGTATGTCGGAATTAGTTAGTTAATTAGTTGGAGCTTTTGACGGCTTGTTAAAAGGCACACAGAGGCATCAATAATTCTAGGATGCGGATATTAAATGTACAGGAAACATTTTTCGTTTAAGCGCGGAAACATCGCTGTTTTTCAGCGCTTCTCATATTTCAGTAATATCGATGTCCTTTTGCTTGTATTCGGTTGTTCGCGAGAGAGAGAGAGAGAGAGAGAGAGAGAGAGAGAGAGAGAGAGAGTCCGATACAACTCATACATTCGCTCCTGTGCAAGTAGAATTCATCAAGCTAGATGAAAAAGCCTTGAGGTGAATGTCCCTTCCCTCCCCCTCCGATTGCAACGCGATCACTCAAGCGTGAAAGTAAATTAATAAGTTAGTGATACAAGCGTCAAGCTGAGTACAATAATTTTCAATATTTTGAAAAAATTAAAAAATCATGAAAGGATTAAGAGAAATTTTTTAACTTGAAAAATTATAAAAATTTCATTAAAAAGCTTGAGCATTTTTCAATTGCGTTATATTTTTCTAATTTATATCGGATCGCTAAAAAAGTTTTAATACACATATTCCTTTTTCCTAGAAATAGTTCAAGTACTATTCAGTAACGCGGGAGTTTATTTTTGAAGAAGTTGAAGAATAATTATGCAGTTGTAACAAACAGACGTCCGATATTAATTACCAACTAGCGACAAATTCAAAGTGTCGGCGAGTAATTGTTTAAACTGTCGTTATCAGCAGTACGCTTGTAATCGCAATGTCCCAGCATTTCCTCTAGCTTTTAATCTTATTCGAGACTTGTTGCAACCGATAATACGTAAAAGGAAGTATCCGCGCAAGACCAGAGATACGAGTTACCTCCACACACCTTGTATATGAATCGTTTTCGAATACATTACATCGGGAGATTGAACCACTAATCTCACTAACGACTTCCTTTGTCGATTGTTTCAGGGCGACCGCCGGATTTTGTCGCGTTCGTCATCACGATACTCATGATGCTGCTGATGGCGGCGGGCGTGAAGAAGTCCTTGGTATTCAACAACGTGTTGAACGCCATCAATCTCGCCGTTTGGGTCTTCGTCATGGCGGCGGGTATGTTTTACGTGGATTCCGACAACTGGTCCGAGCACAAGGGTTTCCTCCCTTACGGCTGGAGCGGGGTAAGTACGGCACACGTGTAGCAAAATAGAGCATCGCGAGGAGTCCAGCAGCGTTATTTGTCACGTAGGATCAAGCGTAATGTCGGAGAGACTCGGGGATAAAAATTAAACGCGAGAGATATGCTCGGAGAGAGCAAGAGTTACGTGAACGTAGATCTCGTTTGGAAATGAGAGAGAGAGAAAAAAGAAACGTAAGTCTGATCGAGAAAATCGAAAGTCCCGGGGAGCCCGCGTTTCCTCGCTCGTCCGCTTTGCGATACAAATGATTCCTCCCGCGCAAAGGATTGTTAAACAATAGCGATTCGCTGCATCCTACCCGAGCGCAGGCGCAGGCTTTGTCGCGCGGCTCTCGCGGATAACCGAAAGAAAAAAGCGAGGGTAGAGATAGGATGAAAAAGCTCTCACGGCTGAAGCCCTCTCGGCGTGTCTTTTCGTAGCTGCTTTCAAAGATCCGGAGGCTTCCAAAGCCTCGTTCTCGGCGTCAACGACAGGCAGGGTCGTACCGCGGTATTCTAATACGACGAGAACCAAGGGTTTTATTAAATTAAAGAAAGGTCGCGCCGTTGAGGGATGACTTTGGGAACGATCTATCTCGCCGGCCGACAAGCACGTTCCCGTGCGGTATATAACAACGTGGCGCTAATATTATATTAAAACACTTGACTATATATTAACGATAAATGGAAGGAGATTAAATGCTGGCAGGAGAGGATTACGTAGATCTAGAAATATCCACTGAGGCACTCATAAATCCGAAATATCTTTAGGAACGATTAATCTCGCGAACCGACAACACGTTTCTACGTGATAAAACAACAGTGACGAAAGCGAAAACAAAATTATATATATATATATATATATATATATATATATATATATATATATATACGCTAAAATATTGTTTATATATTAATGATAGAAAAAAAGAGATAAAGCTTTAGGAGAAAAGGAAAATATATTCTAGAGATGTAAAAGTCATATAAAATTGGAGATATCTTCAGAAGAGATTCATCTCGCAAAGCGACAAACGCGCTTCTGCGCGGTGTAAAAGTGTTGCATTATACATTGACGAATAAAAAGAGGGAGAAATACTTGTAGAACGTTGAAAATGGAGGATATAATATATTCCAAGGATATCTAATAAAATATTAGGAAGGATTAATTTTGTTTGAACTGACAACCACGCTTCTATGCGATATAACAAAACGTTGGAAGAGAAGAGAGAGAAAAAGGTATATCAGAAAAATATCTAATAAAGTTCACATCAATCTTTCTCTCTCTCTCCCTTTCTCGAAAATATTTTTAAGACCGACTCATCTCACGAATTTCATTCGACAAACACGCTATTGTGCGATATAACAACGACGCTAAAATTATACGCCAACATATTTAAGTATATAGTAAGAAAGACACACATAAAACGTTAAAAGAGGAAAGAGGGATGTATTCCAGGATCTAATAAAGTTCATATAAATCCCAAAGATCGTCATAAAGCGAGAGGACTGGAAATCATGAGGACTTTATACACGAAGGACATCGCGTTTTTCGAAAGCTTCCAGCAAGTCAGAGAGTAGCTGGACGGGTTTTGCGGCCGCTTATTAGCTCTGAATAATTTTTATATACGCTCCACATATACACACACTCTCTCTCTCTCTCTCTCTCTCTCTCTCTCTCTCTCTCTCTCTCTCTCTCTCTCTCTCTTTCAATTACAGCCGCAGCTTTGCGAATCCTGTGGTATAGCTCGAGCAAGTCTTTTGCCGTCGCAGCTGTCGTCGCGCACAGTCCTGACGTTAGCCTCGTCGCGGTTAAGCAAGGCGCATGGAATTCCAGCCGCTCGAGGCACGGAAACCGCCGCCGTCGGCCGTGAGATTTTCCGGCCGTGGCTTGCGACAGTTGCGCGAAACAATGGCAAACTTGTTGCACTGAGAGTCGGCGGTGCACGGCCGACAGATGTAGCCGGCCGCGGAGACGCGCGCGACAGGACAATAATAATCGCGGAGAAGGCCGATGACGCGCGCCCGGGTTCGCACACGGATGGATAAAGCTCGACGCGGCGCGGCGGTTCAATCAATAGCGCGAGATAACCCTGGATATCGGACGGATGGCTGTCCAGAGAACTGGTGGACGGAACACGATCAAGGAACAGCGAGATTGCTGCACATCCAAGTTTCAGACATGTTCAAACGTCGAGCGAGTTTCAGACTATTATCCGACGGCTTGTTCGTAGATCACGGAGGATTTTGCTTGCCTTCGTGCAGTTTAGTAGAAATTAATATTAGAGAGAAAGAGAGAGAGAGAGAGAGAGAGAGAGGGGGAGGAAAGAGGATGAGGAATGAGCAAGAGATAAATACACGGATAAGATTATTATGTACTTTGACAAAATTACTCCCAAGCGCAATTAAGTATAAACAAACAATTAGGTAACAGCGCAATTAGATAATAATCAACGAAGAGCAAAACAAGCGAAATTTATGCAGAGTCGTAGAGGAAAAATGGGTATATAAGTTTGAGCCAATTAACGCTATGACTGTCACGTCGTTCTCCACTGATTATTTCAATGCTTAAATTAAGTGTGAATAAACATATTTCGCGATGCACATGTTCGTTAGTTTATTTTATCGCTGAAAAAGAAAGTATTTATTATTAATATTAACAAGCTTTTGGTAACACATTGTAGAAAGTGTCGCACGGCAGAGAAATTATATTCAGAAGAGCCGATTTTTTGTCAGGATAACAAAAACAGCCGGAGAAAAAAATAATTATAATTTTATTATCAATATATAAATATATAAAATAATTATAATAATATAAAATTTTATAAAAATGATTATAATTTATAATTTATAATTATAATTTTAGTAATATTAAACACATTTTTTCTCGGTGATTGATTGATGATAAATCGAGAAACATTTGTAACTCTGGAAGGATTGATTTTTTTACCAACATTTACTGAACATTTATTCCTCGATATGATTGAAAGCACTATCTACCTTGCAAGTCTCGATTTTTTTTCTTGTATATAAACATAGGAACAAATAGAAGCGAGGCAAACATTTAACAAAGCTAAGTTTAAATCAAATTTTATTCACAGCCGTCAGTTGAATTTGCTGCGCACATCAAGAAATAGAAATACAACGGAAAACAAAGCACAACTTAATGTTAGACAATAGAGATGTGCATTCCAGCATTACGAGATAGCATGTTTTAACTGCCTACCGTTACTAAGAGATTGTCAGTAAATTCAGACATCTTGAATGAAACTTTCACTAAAGAGCTCGTCCCATCGTATCACTTACATTTATTCGCTAAGTTTTTTTTTTAAGTAATATTTCAATAATTATCGCGGTCGTTTGTAAAATAACAAAAGACTTTTTTATCCAGTTTAACGAGTTTTATTTGCGCACGAGCGGATATCTATAAATTTGGATATCCTGGATAATGTATTAATTTTCGCAAAGTTAGTTCATTTTAAACATAAATTATTGAACGTACTACAGCGCCGTGTAGTCACTGATGATTATTATCGCAGTCGGCGTATTAAATAGAGACACTAATTAATTAGAGGCGAAAATAATGCTTCCGAGAGGTCACGAAATTTAAATTTAAATACAAAATTAAGTATAGGAAGTCTAAATTTCGTAATGAAATAAAAATGGATATGCAGTTTCTCCACAGGAAAGAGAAAGAGAAAGACAGAGAGAGAGAAAGAGAGAGAGGGAGAGAGAGAGAGAGAGAGAGAGAGAGAGAGAGAGAAAGAGAGAGAGAAAGATTGAAGAGAGAAGGGGAGAAATTTTGAAGTTAAAGTTTTCAGATGAAGTTAAACATTCGGATTAAATTAGATTAAACGACAACAAAGCATGCTTTAAGATATCGAGCACACTCTGTATCGTTTTGAGAGATTAAGATAATAATAAAATGAAACGAATCAGAATAAATTGCGAAAAGGGAATAAATCGGGAGGTATATTGGAACGAAGCGAACGCGCAATTCAGACCGCCCGCAGACTTCGGTCAAGACTGATCAAACAATAGCGTGGGATCTGCATATATCGTGTGGACGCGACTGAAAAACTTCGCCACTGGGCCAAAATTATACGTAAATCATTAGCGATGCACTCGTGCGGCCCAGCGCGCTCGATGAAAAAGCGCATTCCGTAGTCGAGTTGGCGCCGCGCGGGCAGTTCCAATGCGGCGGGAATAATAATTCGCGCCGCGGTCTCAAGGGAAATAAATTAAAAACCTGTCCGAGGCAGAACGATTGTAAAAACAGGTCCGTTTTGCCGCGAGCGGCTTTCGTTCTTCGTTCCGGTGTCGACGCGTTTCGCGTCGTTCGTATCGAAAGAATCTCCGTTTTGAGATTTCGCGGATAGAAAGCTGCCTGTCGTGTTCTCATCGCACGCGGAGTTTTTAGAAGTGAAAGTCTCGACAGGATTACTTTTTATTAATATCCACAAAATATGAATTATTAAAAATATGAATTATTTCCGATTTGCCAAATTATTATTAATCGTATATACACAATTTGCTCCTTTCGTTAATTACTTTTCATTGTCGCGACACGTCGGCCGATTTCTTTGCGACGTAACCTGCACTTCTGCCGAAAAAAGTAACAACGATTATCATAATCATTAAATCCAAGCTTAAAAGCGCGATCCGCAAGACGTTTCGCTCGTTCTTCTATAAATTTTCGGATTTGTAATTTATCGTTTATGATCAATTCGTTTCCAGATGCTTCGCGGTTCGTCATACAGACTCGACACTTTTTCTTTGATTCATTAAATTATTATTAATCATTCAGTTCACCCTCCTCATTAATTATATTTTATTATCGCGACGTGACAGCCGATTTGTTTGCGACGTAACGTATGTTTCTGCCGGACGAGATGACACAACCGCTACATCGTCATTCGCTGTTTCATTTTTCTGCAGTGGTTTATTTATAGCGAGCGCCGTATGATTCGGCAGAACGGCGTTATTTGCAATGGCCCACGACACTCT